TTGGTTATGTTGAAGCGGGTAAAATGGGAGGGTGATGATCGGAACGATAGTCTTTTTAGCGCAAAAAATGAATGAATTCAAAAACTACAAAATTAATAATTTAATTTGCTAAAACCTTAAATGGCCATAAGGTGTGGGATTTTGATCTCTGTATCTGTCAATTTCTTCGACTATTTAAACGAAAATTCTAAAATTGAAAAAATGGAATCCAAGGTTTAATTTTAATTGATATAAATATCGAAAATTGGGGCCAAATTTAATAAATTGATAATTCAATTTTATCAAAAACACAAATGGCCATAGGTACACGCATTAATATTAGCCTTTTTAGAACGAAGTTGATGTCACGAAAAATCAAAAATTGAAAATTGATTTTTCAAATTGATTTTTTAATTTTGATTTTTTGAAAAAGTGATGACCGTTAATAATCTAAATTATATTTTTTTTCGGTAGGAATTCAGAAATTTACAACTACTAGACGGATTTTTTTTTTTCCAAAAAACTATTCAAAAAATTAATGCATGGCGGAATTCGAATGATACACGCATCATTTACCTGCCATTGCACGCGTGGTTTGTAGTATATATCTCTCTCTGGCAATCGATCAGCAAACATGTATTTTGCACCTCGGGTATCACTATTATCATTCTGCCATAACCATCTCCCAGGCTCTTCTCGTGATTCAAAATGAATGACTCTCCCCTTCAGTCTGTCCTTCATGTCTTTCCATGCCCGAGTGGAAACCAGCAAGACAGAGGACACCAACACCAACAGCAAAACCTTCTTGAACATCATTGTTCTTTGTTCTTCGGGTGTACGTTTCTTCTGAACAGAAAGAAGCAAAATATCTAATGAGATGCAAAATTTAAGCATCTAACACAAAATTTAACCAACGTTGTCATTTGACTGTAAAGGTTTGAACTAGTCAAAAAAAATCCTAGATCCACCCCTGGGTGCTGCGCACAAAGTTAACTCAGCGAGGGGTGTACCCCTTAGAATCAAAAGGAAAAACCAATATAGTATTGGTTATCTTCGAAGAAGGGGCACAAAGTCGAACCAGGGAGGATTGCGCAACCCTAGCACCCCTCCCCTGGATCTGCCTCTGCTGTACTGATAATATCGTTATAATTTTGAGACACGCTGATGTATTAGCTGAGGCAGTGGTGTAGGTTTTCGCAATATAACAATCAATAATAATCGATATAAATACAATTGAAAAATCGATAAACGTGATTGAAAAATTGATAATTATCGATTACTCGCAAAATAAGGGCTTATCGATTTTAATCAATTTCCGACGTAATAACTAATCTTATCGATGAATATCGATATTTATCGATTGAACACGCCGGGAATATACACATATGCAAATATAGCTATCACGTTTCCATCGAAAAAAATCATATCATGAAATCTTTATCAACCATGGTTAGCAGAAATATTTCCATAGTGTAGAGCCAACCGGAAGAATTTCTGAAGCGTTTTTCACAGCTTTTAAGGGCTTAGAAGCCTGCTGGTCACTTGTCAGATGCATTCAATAAGAAATTCGTAAAGTTCGAAAACGATTGTACAAAATAAAAATAAAAAATCAAATTAAAAATATTATCTGATTTGTTGTACAGAGGCGAGCCTTACCTCGACGTAACTCTTTTGAGAAGACTTAATTGTTTCTCTCTTAACGTTTCGCAAGAAATGAACCTAGATAAGGGGTGCGTTCCTTTATAACTGAAACAATTCGCTAATTGATTTTAACAAACTCATTAATAATTCACGAGGAAAACACAATGAAATCATGACCGTGAAAAGGTTTATAATTCTGATACAGAATCATGTTCATTTGCATAAACTTTAACTTTGATTTTCTTGGGCAGATTCACTTTTATCTTTAAAATTTTAGTGAAACACAAAGGTATACGACACGGCCACTCATACAGTATATATTACTTTAAGATTATGTGTGCACTTTGTTCGACAGTCTAGCAGTTCACACGGAGTGAGCTAAAGATAAAACATCTAAAGATTTTCCGCCGTTTGTTGTGATCGTGATCGTGTTTATTGTAATCGTGATCAAGTGAATATTGTACACGAGCGATACTGTCTACTTACTAAAGGGTGGATCATACATTGATAAGCATGGGAGATCCTAAACAGAAGAAGGTGTTACCCGTGGTATCTTCTTAACCTTCATTAC